AGATCGCCGAGCAGGGGGCCGGTCGGGACCTACCGCTGACTCGTGCATTTGCATTCGCAGGGAGTGAGTCACGAGAAGGTGCCCGAGGCTACGAACTCTCGCTCCGAGCGCTCAGGGGAGCTGGGTTAACCCTTTAGAAAGAAGGTCGACCTGTCCGGTTGGTCCCTAGGGAAGTGAGCCCCACCCCACCCTCGCCCCCAATATCAGAGAGCTTGGGATGGACGCGACGTCTACGCTGTCTTCCTTCCAAGGGGGCAACGGCTATGCTCCACGCATTCTTTGCGCACACATTTATTCCAGACCTATCTGTAGTCCTCGCTACTCAGGTGGTCACGGCAGGCATTGTATATCCATATAGTTCTGTTTTTAAAAAATCTGCTTCTACCTAAATCCCGTCGACGACGTTAGATCCGGTGATTCCTCGAATGACACTGTTAGTGGTTCCCCTTGACAGCCACGAAGCTGGGGACCTCTCATGAGACGCGCTTCTCCACAATTCCCAAGGGCAGGCAAATGGTGAGGTGAGGAGGGCGCCTCTAGGGAAGGGTCCCTAACAGCTCAGCGTGTCCTGGCTGGTTCAACGGGAGTGCAGAGAAGCTCGCTGTCTTCTGGGGGTTGGAAAGGGGGAAGAGGTTGGTGGACTTGCTTTAGTCCTGTTCTGGGCACAGATGGCCCCAGTGAGGGGTTAGTCCCTCAGGAGACTTTTCTTGTTTTCTAGTCACCTCAGGGAGAAGGGTTTAAGTGGCTAGCTGGTCAGTTTTTAACTTGGCTGCAATGAAATAGAACCCAGGGAAGTGTAATCATTAGACCAAAGAGTAGGCTGCTTTACCAGTTTATAAACATCCACTAGTGTGAGGAAGGCAGGAGCCTCAGGTCTTGGTGAAGCGTTAATTATTCACCAATTACTCACTTACCTGCTGCAGCCGGGGGAGATTTCCCCTTTACTGATGCTGGGTGGCTGGAGGGCACGAAGCCATCCCTTGATGTTATGAGGGTCTAGTGTGGTAATGGAGGATCTTCAGAGCTTAATTAAAATGAAAATATTAAAAGGGAAATCTCTTTTCTCCTTGTTGAGTTTTTTTTTTTTTTTTTTTTTTACAAAACCTGGGCCCAAGTTTTGTATTACAGGTTTTCATCCATACAAATGACAAGCATCTTGCAGCTCTTTCTCAGATCGGCCTCTGTGCTCACAGCAGCTGAGCCCTCCTTGCTGTCTGCTCCTGCTCAGTGTCTGCTTGTCTGCAGCACTGTTCAGGTGCCTGGTCACCTCACTCTCAGTAGTAAATCTAACACTACTGAGAGAATTAGAGGTTTAGAAAATTTGCCTGTACAATATATGTGCAAGGAGAAAGGGTGTGTAACACTCACCTTCTGGCCACTCCACCTGCAAATGTCTACCTCTATTCCCACTTCTAGAAGTACGCTCTCTCTTCTACTGAGATCAATGCTCTCACATACAAACCCTCTTGATTCCCTCCCATCTTAAGAGCAAAACAAAGTCTGCCTTTATCCCATGCACCCTCTTCTTTGTTCCTCTCCTGCCTTGACTTCACAGTCCAGGTTCTTGAAAGGATCGTTTGCACATACGTTCTCTGCTCTCTTCCAGTTTTTTCTCCATCCCATCCCAGTATGGCTTTCATCTCCCATCTCCACAGAATTGATGCCCCCAGCTCTCTCGTTGCCAAATGCAAAGGCTATTTTCCCACTGTGATCTTATTTGGTCTCTTTGTGGCATATATTTCGGGTGGCCACACCCTTCTTTTTGAGACTCCTTTTTTCCATGGCTTCCAAGACATAATTCTAGAATTTTCCCATGAGACTTTGACTCCTCCTCTTCCATTTCTCTCGCCCTTCTCTGATCCCTTAAACACTCTGTTCCCTCTGCACACTCATCCTTATCAAGGGATGCATTATTACCCCCCCCCCATGCTCATGTCTCTAGGTTGTACCTTGCTTGGTTGTACCTTGCTTGGAGTTTACAACCAATTTCTTTTTTTTTTATAATCAATATTTTTTATTTTGATATTGTGGGGTACAGTTAAGGGTTAGGTATACAAATATACTTCGTTCAGGCACCCTTGTTGATAAGAGATGTCTCCCCGTCCCCAGACAGATACTGACTACCGTTAATCCCATCTCCCTTCCCCTCCCCCCTCATAGTTTCCCACCAGTCAGTCCTTTTCTTATAGTATTACGCTGGGTGTTCAAGGTCCACTATGTGAGTGAGAACATGTGATACTCATGTGAACATGTGTAATGCCCCCCGATCTTTTACAACCAATTTCTAACAGGCCATTGCATATCTCCACTTTGGGGCATGAAATTCATGTATTAGAAAACTGAACTCATCTCTTCACCTTCGCAGAACAAAACATGTTCTTTCTTCTGTTTGCCTTTTTAGTTCTTAGCACCACGATCCACCCCTTAGCTCAAGTAGAGACCTGGGAATGGAACTGGTTGCATGATTAGTGTGCACAAATATGGACCCCTCTATTATTAATATAAAGACAGTGACAGAGCATGCAATCTAGCATGGGGCTATCCTGAGTGGGGAAGTTCCCTGCCTCTGTACAAATCACATGCACATTTAGCCAGCTCAGCCTGAAAGTCATGGACACCATTACCCCTGCTCCTCCCTATCAACAGGTCCTGCCATTTCTGCTTTCCTAGCAACTAGCTGCCATGTCTCCTTGCCCCAACCTCATCACCCTGCCTTAGAGTTCAGTCTCTCCTCATGTCTGGTCTGAGTGCCTGCAGGGGCCCTCCGGCTGGTATTCCTTCTTCCAGACTCTCCTCTGTCTCGTCCTCCCTAATGCCCCCAGAAGGATTTTTCAGACAACTTGATCATGTCATTCCCTTGTTCAAAAGCCTTGAGTGGCTTACTCCTGCTCTTTCCCAGTACATTACATACTTTATACCTTCATGACCTTCTCTCTGCTATGTCAGTCCTCCTTGACATTGTCAACTTAGTGGACTGCCATGTATCTTTGAAGACCCCACTGAAACATTACCTTCTATGTGAGCCTTTCTCTCCTCCAGCACCTTATAAAAAGCCTGTAACAGCTTATATGACATAATGCTGTAACTATTTGTTTATGCCCTTATCTCCCTTAATGGACTGTGAGATAAAAACAAGTGTTGTGTAACATTCATTTTGCATTAAAATTGCATAGCCTAACATGAGGCATGCTATAGGTGCTCAGTAAGAGTTTCTTGAATGAAAGTAAATAAAGATTAGTCTTTTTGTTTTGTTTTGTTTTGTTTTTGAGTCAGGGCCTCACTCTTACCCAGGCTGGAGTGAAGTGGCACGGCTCTCCACAGCCTCCAGCTCCTAGGCTAAAGGGATCCTTCTGTATCAGCCTCCTTCTGTATCAGCCTCCCGAGTAGCTGGGACTACAGGTGTGTACCACCACACCCAGCTAATTGTTTTACTTTTTGAAGAAGCAAAATCTCACTATGTTGCCTGAGCTAGTCTTGAATTCTTAGGCTTAAGTGATCCTCCCACCCCTCAGTCTCCTAAAGTACTGGGATTGCAGGTGTGAGCCACCATGCCCTGCTTTTCTTTACATCTTAAATGATCACTTTCTACCTTAATATGAATTTCTTTCTAGTCAGGGAGAAAAAGAAATACTGCCACCAGACTTGAGTTTATTTTAGGAATACTTCCAAATTCCACTCATAAACAGATTCTCTTTGTTGTATTTCATTCAATTTCCTCTGACTTCGGAAGATGTTACATGTTTAGGAGGAATGAACCTGTTAGTTATCCTGTTCAGGGCTTCCCTCTGCTGACAACACAACCCTCTCTTGTCCCTCACTCTTATTCACCTGGCACTACCTGCTTCCGCACAGGGCAGTCTTTACTGGAGAGTTCTGCAGCGTTTTGGATGGCAGGTAGGATTGCAAATTGTTGGCTGTCCTATCTCAAATACTGTGTGAGAGTTACCTCCCTAAGGCATTTATTATTTTTGTTTGAAAAACAAAACAAGAACTGTTTTCAAGGTCACCTTCACTTTCTCACAGTCTTAGAATGCCACTTGTGTGTCTCATTTTAAATCCTGGTTAACAGGAAACGACAAGGACATCACATTGTAGACTCTGATCTTTGGGTTCTGAAATGTAACTATTTATATAACATTGTTCTCATGAAAAATATTAGATTTTTCTGTTTTGAAAATTAGATCTAAGTGTACTTTGTGAGATTCAGAACTGATCTAGAAAAGTAAATTTGATGACCGGGAAAATTCAGGACAAATGTCACATAGTACTTTGTACATACCTCTTTTATAATATGTGTGACAATAACTTACCGCTTTGTTTTATTGTCCCTGTCCCCAGAAGCTCCTTGGGGGCAGAGACTGTATTTTGTTAGACTTTGTAGTCCTATCAGGTGGCAGAATACCTACTATGGGGGGGGGGCTTAAAAAACCCAACTTATAAAAAAATTTTTCTATGTATTCTTACTCCCTGCTTGATGCAATACACCTATCGAGACTTTTTTCCACTGCTCAGAACAGTTTTTGAACTAATCAATTTTGATGGCTTTTAGCGCTTCTGCTGCTTTTTGTTTCACCTCTTCCACATCATCAAAACATGTCTTTTTGAGGACTTTTTTCATTCGAGGAAACAAACAAACAAAAAGTCATTTGGGGCAAGATCAGGTGAATAGGGAGGGTGGGGCATGGGGGCCATGCCACTTTTGGTACAAAACTGCTGAACATTCAGCGAGGTATGGGCAGGTGTGTTGTCATGGTGGAAGAACCAGTCACCCATTGGTCACAACTTGGGATGTTTCTTCTGCAAATCGTAACACAAACTTCTCAAAACTTCCAGATAAAAAAGTTTGGCTGACTGTTTGATCTGGAGGAACAAATCCTGAGTGTACTACAAG